GGTATATCCCACTGTTGCAGTATATATTTGTTGAAAGCATGTGATCAAAAGCCTCGTTACTAGCGCAAGTTGGGGTGCACGAACGGAACATGGCACTAGAAAGTCCTTGTAGATTTGTGTAATTGAGAGCTTTAATCATTTCAAAGGCTCCCCCGTCGTCTATATTTCGTCCCAGCTTGAGGTCGGTGTCGAAATTCGCGCTCTGGAAGAACAGGTTCTTGAGCCCAGAGCTTTCATGTTCCAACTTCTGCAGTACAGCATCAAGAGATTGATCTTGTTGTATACCATAGAAGGAATCTGGATCATCAATGTTTTTGAATATGCGATGGAGAAGTTCGGTAGATTCTAGTGGTGCTATCGTAGATGACCGTCTAGATGCTCCAACAGCCTGTGAGTGACATATTTCCAAAAATAACAACGATGTTTTATACATTTGACAGCGAGACGCTGCTGTTGCGGTCAACATAAAGTCAATATCAAGCCACCCATTTCTTTCACCCATGGTGTTCTCTCGGGGTAAAGGCTGGCGTCGAAGGTAGAGAATACACGTTATTATCGAACGAATATGGGGTATAATTGAGTCATTGCTGTTTTGAAGGGTCTCTTTGAAGAGTTCAGAAACTTCAGTTCTAGTTTTCTGGTTACTGTCAATCTCAGATAACAATACGTCATGAAGGATATATGGAAGTAATTGAACTGCGAAGGAAGGAACTTCAAAGATGATTTTTGGTAAAGCCCCAATAACTGCATCATTAGCCACTTTGTTGCATAGAAACAGTGCTAAATGTTGAGCAAACTCAGAGGCCGTATTTGTCGCGTCTCGTTGTGGTAAAGATATAAAACGGGCCATTGTGGATGTTGAGAAGACAAGCATAGGGCATTGATATGGTTCCCATGTTAGAGCTTTCAGTAGGGTCGGGGGTATAATTTGCATGCATTCATCAATCTGAAGATCTCTGGTAATGTTATTCGAGATCATTTGCAGGGTTCTCTCCGCCAGCCCAGCCGGGCCACTGCTGTTAGACAATGAATCACATAGTATACGTAGTATGGCAATTTTCGAGCCAGAGAGAAACCATCATGGGAACAGTCAAGGAACTCCGATTT